TACAGTCTGAATGCTGCTTCCCACTGAAACCAGATTCAACTGTTTCCAAAGTTCAGAGTTGAAATTTGACTGGATAGTTTCCTTTTTCACTGATAGCAAAACATATGAGGTTGCCAAGAACAGATGAATCATACCCACTCCCAGCAGTGGGAGCTCAAGTTCAGAAGGGTCTGTCATAGACAGTAGTTATACAATTATATTATCTTTCTTCTTTGGGATACACAGGGATTGTCTGATCTAGAGCTTGAGAAGTTGCTGTATCCAATACAAATTACTTCAAAAATAGTCCAATCTGATTTAATGTTAAATATGGGTTCAGGAAAAGTGAATTTTCCTCTAATCTAGCATGGAAAAAGCAAATTGTATCATAACAAGAGGACAATGTTTGCAAGCAGACTAGAACTTTCTGAGAAGACAAAGCGTGCCAAATTTCATACATACTGATGGAAGGGATTTGAGCAGTATCTTTTTTCTTCTTATTCCTGCAATGTTTAGAGATAGAATGTGATTACTATTAGTAGCCACTACTTCATGGGAAAAATAATTCCTGCAGTGCACATGAATGAGAAGAACATTGCTTCTAAAACAAACTTACACAAGGGCTTCTAAAAATATCTTATAGAATTGATAGTGTTCATGGAAACACACCTGAAGGGTGCATTTGGGCATATAACATAATTGCAGTATCTAGGCTGGGCATCTTTAAATTGCCCACAGCAAAGTAAGCTAGGACATTCTTCCTTTTCTTTCAGCAGGACTATAAGCAGCAGCTACATGTTGATCTAAGCACTGCAAACCGATGTGTAGTCTACAAAGGCCTTGGGAAGGGCAGATTTTCAAATTAGTTCTTATTCCAAGTTAACAAAAACAAATGTCACCCTGAACCTAATGCCCCTCTTTATAAATCAAGGAGAGGCCACAGAGTTCAGAATATGACCGTCATGAATGATCAGCATGCGATTGCCACAGGCATGGTAGTTCTTGTTCTCTCTCTCTCTCTCTCTAATAATTAAGAGAGGTGGGACCTCAACTGTGCAGTTGTGATTGCCATCTTGACTTTTTTTATCCTTGTTCAGATGTCCCTGAACACCATGGACTTCAAGAGTGAGCACCAGTTAAGGACTTGACCGTTACCTGCATTTGTGCTCAGCAATAAACATATTGCCATTCTATGATGCAATCAAAATGCTACAACATGAAATCTCTTTAATGCTCACAAAATGTTTGGAGTGGCCATTAAGGGTAAAAAAATGGTTTTAGGTCTCAAATACAGACAAATACCCATTCTTGGCTACGACTGTAAACCAGATAGTGTTTCAAACAGCACTATGTGGTCTTAACAAGTCACCTATTTTCTCAGCCCCAGTCTTCTATCTGCAATATGAGGCAATAATGCTGGTCTACTCCAGCAGGTTGTTAGTTCTAGTCTTTGTTAAGCACTTTAACTCCTTGAAATGCAGTGTATGAATGTTTATTAAGAAAAGCAACAAAATTTAAGTGATCTCTGCTGAAGTAGAAATTTCTGGCCTTCTCATTTTTAGATTTTCTTCTGTGAGCGTGAAACCAAAATAGTGATTATTTGTAAGATTTAAACACACGTGGCAAGGAGACCTTGTATCAATTGCACTCTCACACAAGTGTCTTGCTTGTTTCTCAGGAGCGATCATCTTCCCAAGAAAAATGCAGGGACTAGTCCAGGCAGTCGCCAGGAGTCAATGCTGACTCCAAGACACACACACACACACACACATCCACCACCCTTTTTATAGCTGCACTCTATAAATGTGCTGATGGGTAACATAAAGGCTTCCTTGAGTCATGCTAGCAGGGACTTGGACAGGTCACTGTAATTTTCTTCGGGAACAATACGTGATTTGTTACTGCTTTCCTTGAGAATTTATTTCCCTGATTCCCCAGGCTAGTTTACAGCCCTGGGACTTCCTGTTAATCTCCTGTCCAAGTATTAACCAGGTCCAAACCTGTTTTAGTGCCCCCGCACCCCAAATCAGCTAAGGTCAGTTAAGCGCTATCATCTCACAATGCTATTGCAATAGATGCAAAGCTCCACCTCTTACAACAACATACGTATATTATATATAAGCAATGAACTACTGTACCTTGTGTTCATTGAACTGAATGAGCATGCTGATGAGTTTTGAACCAGAAACTTGATTTCCTTTTTTATGGAGTATACATAGCTCCAGAATGACTTCCACTGGAACAGATCATCAAGATGCTTCATTATTTCAATATACCCAAACATCACATGGTTTACTTGGATGTGAAAATCAGGTCTAAAGGCTCTTTGCACATGAAACACCAGCAGATGGGATTTGGAGCTAGGTAACCAAAGGTTTGGCTATCAATCCACCTGCTGTTTCAAGTAATGGTTGCGACAGAGGTTTCTCACCCATAAACAACAGACAACAATGAATCACTTGTGTCATTAAGACAGAGATCTCAAGTACTTTTGAGTGTGTGTCGTTATGCTTTAATATTGGCTTCTCTGCTAAAAGTAAGGCCTGGTATGGATGCAACTCTCTCAAAAGTGAAGGAAAGTCAAACCACATCTCATAACCTTCTGATTGCAGCAGCGGATTTGGAAAGCATCAAAATAAAACCACTTGGTGCATGGTGACTACTCTTCACAACTTCTGATGCACGCCTTTTAGGTTTATTCTGGAACAGAGGTCTAGGTTCACTTCCAAACATGACTATCAAACTTACTAAGAGATTCTGACCAGATACTGTCTCAAACTTACTTCAGAGAGGTTTTGTGAGGAAAACTGAGGTGGGGGTGGAACCGGTACTATGCTCTGAGAGTTACTTAGGAAAGGAGGAACATTAATAAATAAATGGAAACAAGTATATTGAGATACAAATGCATTTGTAGGTGTACAGGCCAGAAGAACAATAAGCACATTACATGAATGATGTGCTTAATAATGCACAACTTAAAGGGGTGAGTTTTTTGCTGCTGTTGCTCAATTAATGTGGCAGCCTTTCTAATGATACATCCTGTGCAAAATAGTTTTTCTTAATAGCAAAAATAAGCCCCCGACCCCTCCAAACGTTCTGTTATTGTGTGTAACCCTACAACAGCTATTAATGTACTTTATGTCATAAGGATTTAAATACAACATGCAACTCACAGCTAAAGTATATATGTGCATCATGAAGACCACCCAGAAGCTTCAACTGGTCCAGAATACAACGGTGTGCAGACTTTTGGACACCCAGCGGTTTGCCTGTTATACCACTGCTGTCTGAGCTGTATAAGCTTCTGTTTCTTTCTGGGTGCAATTCAAGGTTCTGGTTATCACCTTTAAAGCCCTACATGGCACAGGATCATGTTTTTGAGGAGCAGATCAGATAGGATGAGCATGTTCCAGGTCCCCAGATGATTTTAAACAATGTCATCTGGCAGGACCTAGGAGGCAGATCCTTCTCTATAGTGATGCCTGTCTTATGAGACACCCTCCCCCGAGATCCAGAGGGCCTCTACCCTCCTGGGCTTCTGGAAATCCATTAATGCCTGGTTCTTCCCCTAGAAGGACGGGAGTTGAGCCCAGCACATGTTGTGGCACCTTGGTTGTACGAAATGGTTTTAAGCTGTCCAGAGTTATGTTGTATAAATGGGCAGCCACATCAATCAAATCTCTCTCTCTCAGAAAGTTTCCTCTCTGAAAAGTAACCAGAATTGGTTTCTAAGGTAACAGACAGATTTGCTGAATTACTGAGGCCCATTCTTTTCAGCTCCACTTCTCTGCCTATGTACACTTCAGAAACTTAATGCCCTGCATTAACACTGGATCATATACTGTATTAGGAACATAATATACATAAAAATACTTTAATGTATACTGTTTAAGCCTCTGTGTGCAAAATCAAATTTATTATTGCGATTTAAGATCAACATATCAAAAACAAACAAAAATCAAACCCCAAAAGATAAAATTAATAAAATTAGAAGTATGAGTCTACAGCAGTGTTTCTCAACCTCAGGCAACTTTAAGATGTGTGGACTTCAAGTCCCAGAATTCCACAGCTAGCATGCTGGGTTGGGAGAATTCTGGAGTTGAAGTCCAC